CCTGCTCGGGACACTGCATGCCCAGGACAACGTTCCTGTCCAAGCCGACTTCCAGCAGGACAAGGTGACCCAGCCCAGCCAGCATCACCTGCGTGGAGGTTTGGGGTGTTTTGAGGGATCCTTGCCCTGAAAGCATGTGGAGAGGGTGGTGCCGGTGGCTGTGGGGCCAGGCTGGCCAGTACTGAGGGTCAGAGTGCTGAGGCACCCCCAGCCCCCTGTCCTGGGGACCACCCAGAACCTGGGTTTGGTGGCTCTGGATGGGATCCAGCATCCAGGCTCCCGCCTGTGGAGCAGGACCATAGGGCAGGTGCAGAGCCAAGCAGCCTGCTGTGCCATGGGGTGGGGCTGGATGCACTGGGATCTTATAGGAGAAACTGAGGAAATCAGTCTCAGTGTGACAGCACAGAGATGCACCATGGACTCCCCTCCCCAACAGAGACCCCAGTCCAGGGCCCCAAAAGACTAAGGGTGCTGTGCGGGGATGTCCCACACACCCCTGTGCCCCTGGACTGGTCCTGGGGGACACAGCCACCCCAGGGAGGTGATGGGGATGGAGGTAAGGATGGGCATCTGGGATGTCTTTCAAGGGTGGTCCCAGCACAGCCCTTCTCCAAGGCTGGCAGTTCCCCTCAGAGGGCACCACACTTCTGGCCCCAGGGACTGGGCTGGGATGAGCCATGCTGGAGGAGTCCTGAGCCCTCCTCATGCCTCCAGATGGATGGAAATGGCATCTCAGAGCCAGGCAGTCCTGCCACCCCTCCTCAGGCTTGGGGCAAAGAGGAAGGAAACACTCAAGCGCAGCAGTGAAGGGCACGTCTTGAACCAGGGATTACCTGGCCCCTGGAGGTTGTGAATGCCAAGAGCTGTGGCAGTTCCCTGGGGGATGAGGATTCAGAAACACCATCCTACCCTGGGGAATGGAGCTGCCAGGGGAGGGGGACATGGCCTGGGCTGGGGCTGGTGGGGGCTGAGGGGTGAGGCAGGGTCTGCACCCAGCTGGGACTGAGCAAAGGTTGTGTGCAGCTCACGGGGAAATGGTACACCATCGGCTTTGCCTCCAACTCCAACTGGTTCAAAGAGAAGAGGCACCTGATGAAGATGTGCACCACCATCATCTCCACCACTGCAGATGGGAACCTGGAAGTCACCTCCACCTACCCCAAGTACAGCATGGGGAGGGGGTGGACGGTGAAGGGGTGCTGGGTGTGGGCACTGGTGCATCCCCTCACTGCTCTGATGTCCTTGTGCTGTGCTCCTCAGGGGTGACCAGTGCGTGACCAG